TGTCAGGAGGGACCAGTCCCTGGAGAAGGATATCATGTTTGGTAAAGTGGAGGGTCAGAGAAAAAGAAGAAGATCCCCAGCGAGATGGATTGGCAAAGTGGCAGCATCAATGGGCTTAAGCGTGGTAGCAATTGTGAGGTTGACCCAGGATTGGGCATTATTTAGTTCTGCTGTGGATAAGGTTGCGATGAGTCTGTACCAAGTAGATGGCACCTAACAACAACAACAACATAAGGTATTCATGGGGGCAAGATAAGAGGGGAGACTTCAGAGACTACAGCACACATGAATGACTTTGAATAAGTTAACAGAGGCAGTTCCTTATCTGCTTGCTTTTTCTACATATCAGCTCCCCTATCTACCCCCTTAAGGGCTCCCATTAGGACTTCATTCCAAGCCTTACCTGACATCTCATGGGGATCACATTCCGCATCCTCTTACATATCAATGCTTGAAAGGAGCTTCTAACCATTCTTCCTTCACCAGGTCTGAACATGTTTTGGGTACAACACCTGCACAGCTTCATCAAAATTCTGGGGAGTAGAGGATTAGGGAATATTCATACATTAATGAGGGAAATGAAGGCACAGAGAGATGAAGGAAATTGCCCAAAACACAGAGCAAGAAAGTGGCAAAATCCAGGACTTCTCACTTCTAGTTTAATACTCATTTAGACTAGAATACTTTTGTTAGCAATCATAAAACTATCATTATGATGTTATTAATAAAATGTGATTACAATTACTGGTGCGGAGCTGTAGGATAAGTCCTATGCTGCTAACAACAAAGTTGGCAGTTCAAACCCGCCAGACTCTTTTTGGAAACCTTATGCAGGGTTGCCCTGAGTTGGAACCAACTCCACTGCCACTTAACAACAGCAACATTATAATGAATTCTCTAATTATAATGATGTTATTGTCAATAATAGCAGCATAAAAATGGTGTTGTTGTTGTTTTTAGGTGCCATCGAGTCAGTACCGATTCATAGCGACCTTATGCACTACAGAATGAAACACTGCCTGATCCTGGGCCAACCTCACTATTGTTGCCACACTTGAGTCCATCAATGCTGCTACTTGGCCAATCCATCTCGTTGGGATTCTTCCTCTTTTTCTCTGACCCTCTACCTTAGCAAACATGATATCCTTCTTCAGCGACTGGTACCTCCTGACAATATGTCCGAAATATGAGAGATGAAGTTTGGCCATTTTTGCCTCCAAGGAGCACACTGGCTGCACTTCTTCAAATACGGATCTGTTGATTTTTTTGGCAGCCCATGGCACTTTCAATATTATACTCCAACACCATAACTCAAATGCATCAATTCTTCTATGATCTTCCTTATTCACTGTCCAGCTTTCACACACATATGAGGTTATTGAAAATACCATGGCTTGGGTCAGGCGCACCTTAGTTTTCAAGCTGACACCTTTGCTTTTCAACACTTTAAAAAGGTCTTGTGCAGCAGATTTGCCTAATGCAATACATCGCTTGATTTCTTAACTGCTTCCATGAATGAAATCCTTGACAACTCAATCTTTTCTCCATTGATAAGAATGTTGTTTATTGGTCCAGTTGTGAGGATTTTTGTTTTCTTTACATTGATATGTAATCCATACTGAAGGCTGGGCTCTTTGATCTTCATCAGTAAATATTTTAAGTCTTCTTCACTTTCAGCAAGCAAGGTTGTATC